CTGTGAAAGCCTAGAGGGAAGGGAGCTAGTCATCACCACCCACCGTCAACTCTTGGGCTACTCTTTTGCCGACAAATAGTGGGATTGATCGTCACATTATAAAGTCTCCACGGCTGAAAAAGCGAGCATGTTTGGTAGGACGGGGGATTCGAACCCGCGACCCGCAGATTGCAAGTTGAGCGTCCTAACCACCTCGCCATGCAAGGCCGTTAGTAAGAGAGAACTATTTTTAGATGACTAAACTGGCAGAAGTAACATGAACTGAATTAATAATAGGCTAAGGGTATTTTCCAAGATATACCTTCCATATAGACTTTAAAAACTATTTTATTCTTTGCTCAGTGCTTCTGCAATTAAGAAAATAAACGTGAGTTTTACAATATTGTTGGGCTATGTTAATGGCTAAGTCAAAATATATGTTGCTTTGTATAAAACCCTAGAAGTTGAAACATTTCGAAAAGTAATATAATAACTGCGTGTTTTGTCTGGGGATATATATGTCGTACTTATTATTCAATACTTTACTCCAGCTGGTATCTAAGGAATAAAGAAAGGTACTTTTTCAATAAGAAGTCTGCGAATGTTGATTCCGAAAGAAGGCAGCAGAATGGACGAACGTTTAGCAATGGCACAAATATAAACGTCACAAATTAAAACACATTTAAAATTAGCCGGAATGAAGAGGATCCTCCGGTTGAGGATGTATATCTATGTTGTTTCAATAATGAAAGAAAATGTAGAGAGAAACAAAGACGTTGCTTAGGAGGAACATTAACTAAAAAGTAGTGGAAATCAGCATAGTATGTATATATATATATATATATATAATATGCATTTTAACAGATGGCGTACCTACCACGAACGCGGTTTTAATTAGATATTAATAACGATAATAAATATGTTTTATAAGATAAATATCAAGTAAGTGGTGCAATAAAGTGAAGTCACGTGACCTGATATCAAGCTCACATTAACAGTCTATATTAACATAATACAAAAGTTCTGAATTAATAAAAAAAGAGGGAAGTAGAGATACAGTCATCAAACAAATCACGTGATCTGATATCAAGCTCACATTAACAGTCTATATTAACATAATACAAAAGTTCTGAATTAATAAAAAAAAGAAGGAAGTAGAGATACAGTCATCAAACAAAGGTTCTTTCTTAACATTCTCACAAATTAGTCTCTGTTCCAACGAGGGCTCGGCATGGCCAGGTGGTTAGGGTGCTCAACTCGCAATCTGCGGGTCGCGGGTTCGAATCCTCGATCCACCAAACATGCTCGCCCTTTCAGCTATGGGGGCGTTATAATGTGACAGTCCGTCTCCTTGCTCGTTGGTAAAAGAGTAACCCCAGAGGTGGCGGTGGGTGGTGATGACTAGCTGCCTTCTCTCTAGTCTTTCACTGCTAAATTATGAACAGCTAGCGCAGATATTCCTCGTGTAGCTTTGCGCGAAACTCAGAACAAACCAAACTGTTTCAACGAAACATGTGGCGTGATAAATAGGAAGACTCTGGACTATACAGTACGGAGGACAAAAACTTAAAAGTTAC